CAGACTCCTCCCCTGCGGGCGGCAGGAGCAGCCAGGACACGGGGAAAGGGGGCGTGTGACAGGGCTGCGGGGCACATGACGGACGGGTGGTTGGGATGGAGTGACCGGCACCGGGCACAGACCCCGGGCACCCACCCGGTGGCTCCCGCYTCCCTCGGGGCGCGGACACTCCCGGGGATTCCGGCCGGACCCGTGCCCATCTCCAGCACCGCGGCCGCACTCACCTGTTCCCCGTCACCCATGGCTGCSGGATGCTCGCCCGACCCGCTCCGTTCGCCCCGGAGCCCGCGGGAGCGGCCCCGCCGCCGCGCCGGGGGAGCCTCGGTAGCCCCGAGCCGTGTCCCGGGCGGGCTGTCAACCCCCGGGAGCGGTCACAGCATCCCGCGGGGCCCCGGCGCTCCCGGGCAGCGCTGACAGGCGGGCAGCCCCGGCCGTGCCCCGCTCTCCCCTCCCGGCCCGCACTCACCGGCGCCGCCGCCGCTCCGGGGCCGCGCAGCCGCTTCCGGGTCCGGGGCCGGCCCGACGGGCGCGAGACCGCGCCTGACCCGGAAGCGCCGCGGCCCGGAAGTGACGCAGCGGAACGGGCGGGGCGGGCGGCGGGGGCAGCGGGGGCCGTGGGTACGGCAGCGAGTCAGGGGCTCCAGTGGGCACGGAGCGAGTCACGGGCTCCGGTGGGCACGGAGCGAGTCACGGGCTCCGGTGGGCACGGCCAACCCGCCCCTGATCCGCCTGCTCGGTACCGGACACACCCGCGGCGCTCAGCGCTCACCGGCCCCGCAGGCACCACACCACACAGGATGGGAATTACACCACTTTTATTTCCAATTTCTTGCTAGAAACACTGTGATGATTGTATTTATTTGGTAGTTTTAAAGCAAGGCTCCCACTCGGTGTACAAACACAAACGGGATAAACATTAAACACAATCACTGCTGCCCAGGACACGGATTACCAACGCTGCCCAAAGCCATGAGCAGCACCCCTGGGTTATCCGGATTATCGGGGGACCCGRGACTGCCTCCCCACGGCTGCTTGGGCGAGCAGGGCACCCTCGGGGTCCGCTCCTCACACCTCTGGCCTCCTGGAGCT